GCTGCTGGCCCCTCCTACCACGGACAGCTTTCTCAGCTGCTTGCAGTCTCCTCTGCCACCGTCCCTACCCTTCAGGCACTCTTCACCCCCTCCCCCACTGCCTTCTGGATGCCCCATGTACTCGTCTTGGGTTCTACCACTGATGCTGGTCAAGCTCCCCACCCTCCCACACACACCGCCCTGCTCCACACAGATGCTCCCTTGACCCCATGCCAAACCTCATGCCTACCTCCACACCTTCCTTTCCCTTCTTGAATGCTACCATTTAGGAAGTCTTCCCCATTCTGCTTGGGCCCCAACAGAGTGTGCCAGTCACTCTCTGCAGGATGCCCACTCCAACCCTGTGCCAGCCTGCCCTTCAGGAGCACAGCGCCCCCCCCCCCCCCAGTGCCGACTACCATTCTCTCATGGGGCCGCTTCACTCAGCATGTGAAGCCCCTGCCACCCATGCACCACGTCCCACCGTGCTACACGTGTACTTTGCGGGGCTCATCCAGTGGCCCTAAACGGAACTGCTAGGAAGAGAAGCTTTCCGAATGGTTTTCTGTTTTAGTACTTGTGACAATGAAGTGGAACCCCATCATGTACACACTTCACATAGATGAGTACAAGTTCAGTCACCAGTGTGCACACCCACCAGTAGGAATGACTGACCTGATGGCCCAGTCCATGGAGTGAGCTTAGAAAAGTGAGCCATGGGCCAGCCTTGTGGCATAGTGGGTTAAGCCACCGCCTGTGATGCCAACATCCCGTATGGGCACTGGTTTGAGTTCCAGCTGCTCCACTTCTGATCCAGCTCCCTGCTAATGCAACAAGGAAAACATTGGATGATGGCCCTGTGGGTAGAAGATATCTCTCTCTCTCCTTCTCTCTCTAACTCTGCCTCTCAAATAAATAAATAAATAAATCTTTAAAAAAAAAAAAAAAAAAGGTGCGCTCTCTGCCTTCCACTGGACTTAGTTCCTGAGCTTAGTCTGAGAATGAGCAGCTCACTAAACTGACTTCCTGAATCATAGAAAGCGTTTGCTAAGGTGCCCCCACTCGAGCCCACTGCCTTGTGTCTTCACACACTGCACGCACTTCACGCTGGTTTTGCCCCTTGGCCGTTGTCACCGTTGCACTGTCTTTATAGCCTGCCCGCACGACTTCCGTTGGTCTGTGGTGCCCCCGTGCCAGCGAGGGAGTGTGTTGAGGAGTGCGGCAGTGCCACCTGTGCTCTCTTAAGATTTAAACTTTGTATTACCTCACACAAAGCTTTTCCATTTGATTATCAGGCCTGGGAGCAAAGGCAGAGCCTGGAACCAGGTTACTTGGGCCACCATTGGTGAGACACAAGCTGTACCTCTTCTGGCTCTTCCCGTCTGCTGACTGGGTCACAATGATGCACCATCATTTTTTCATTATTTTTGAGATTTATTTATTTATTTGAAAGGCAGAGTTAGATTGAGAGAGAGATCTTCCATCTGCTGGTTCAGTCCCCAAGTGACAGCAACAGCTGGGCTCCATCTGGGTCTCCCATGTGGGCAGCAGAAACCCAAGAACTTGGGCATCTTCTTTTGCCTTACTGGGTACATTAGCAGGGTCCTGGACTGGAAGTAGAGCAGCCAGGACCCATTAAACCAGTGCTCATATGGGCTGCAGGGTCACAGGAGGCAGCTTAACCTGCTGTGCCACGATGCTGGTCCCCCTCCTCCTTTTTCCTAGATTTTCTAAACTAAATAAAGCACTTGGGATGTTTTCCCCAGTCTCTGCCTGAGCCCACCGCATAATGACACTGCAGGGAGAACACAGGCGCACATAGAGCAGGACCAGGGAGGCCTGGGCCCCGTAAGTGGCCAGGGAGCAGCAGCGGAATGGAGCATTTGTTTCCTGTCTGTGCACCAGGAAGCATTGTTCCCCGCTGGTGACAGACACACACAGAATGGACCGCAGGGTCGCCTTGTCCTCACCTGCAGGCTCCCAGGCAGCGCGAAGCCGCTGTGCTGGCGCTAATGAAGCAGTACAGGAAACGCCACTGGATAAAGCTCAGCTGTGACCCTGGCCTCCCAACAGGGGCGAGCGGGCCCCTTTGAAGAAGAAGACAGCTGGGTTTTGGTTTCAAAACCTTACCACTGCCATCACTAGACACTCATCTGTCAGTGCACAGGGGACCACATGTGGGCAACAGTTGTGTCCAGCCAGGCCAGGGGGAGAACGAAACGACTGATTCCTGGGTAGCTGCAAAGCGTCTCATGCCCTGCTGGGGTTCTGCCTAGCATGGCCACAGAGCACTGACTTGGTGAGGCTGAGTGAGAACCTGGGTGCTCCTGCAGCAGCCCAAGAGGTCCTTGCCATGACGCTTTCCTTCAGCGTCACAGCAGGGCTGTGGACTTGGGCTGGGAGGTCCTGGCCCAAGCTGTGTCATTCCGTTGGCCCTCCTTGTCCCCAACTGCTTGAATATGTATACTGTAGTGCTGAGCTGTGGGAGGATCCAGCCTGCCATGCTCTGTTTAGCAACTGCTTTCCCGGCATTGACACGAGGCCAGGGTGTGCTTGCAAGAATATGTTTTCTCCTCTTCTTCCCCTCCCCAGCCCTGCTTCCTGACTTTGAGTTGCTGGATTTAACTGGTGGCATTTTTCTTCCAGGAAAAAAAAAAAATGTGTAATCCTCAGTTGAATTTGTTTACTAAGAGTCCTCTAATCTGTGCAAGAGTTTTCTTCGGAGGGGATTTCTCCTTCCTTCTATAATGGCTTTTAACTCGGCTGAGGTTTATTTAACAGAGTAGGAAGGGGGAAACTTATCTCCTCCCTAATCCCTCTTGAATGTTTACATTGCTCTGCCAAAGTAAACGCTGTGTGAAGTGGCAGCGGCAGTTCCCTCAGTAATAGTCCATCTGCAGCTGCCAGGGCTGATGGCAACATATTAACATAAGTGATAATGCTGTCATAGAAGTGAAGAGTTAAGTTGCTTATCGGTATGTTTCGATAAGCTACTTAAATTTTACAGTAGCATGTGCCGGCTTGGGACAGACGTTAATGACCGGGAGGTGCACACTTTATCTGTCCCCTCTCTTGTCTCTCACTTCATTTATTACCCTCGGCAGCCCAGCCAGTAATCTGTCCAGGGTGCTGGCCCCTCTCCCTGGCAAGATGTCACATGTGCGCTGGGCCTGGGGTTCAGCTCTATCTGTGACGGAGGTTCTGAGCTCTGCAGGCAGCAAGTGCCTGCTGCCATGCTCTTCTCACCAGCCTGTCTGTCATAGCTTCCAGAAAGTTGCTCTTAGACAATAGAGGCCTTTGAAGTAAGTGGCCAAGTGTCTCGGAGAAGGGATGCTTTTCAACAACTCCATAACACTCTAAGGTGGTTTTGCCGCTAGACTTTGTCTAGTTGCATTTGTTCAGTAAATGCTGAGCACTGACCACATGCCAAGCCCTGTCCTTGGCACTGGAGGACAAAGTGCAGGAAGATGTGCCCGTTCCCCTGTGTCTGCCACAAGGCCTGTTGAGAAGACTGATGTGCGGCTGCGTGCTTCAGCTAGAGTGGAGTGTTAGGGCCCGTGTGTGCGCATGAGGCCAGGGCAGCACAGAAGCTGGGGCATTAGGCCCGGTGGGGCTGGCACCAAGAAGAGCTGGGAACTTTGTGGAGGGTGTGAAGAAATCAGCTAGGCTGGACCATGCAGGTCTTAGGGTGGAACAGCCACGCTCAGGCAGGCTCAAGGAGGCGTGGACAGTCCCTGTGTGAACCTGCCACGAGAGGGAGCAGGTGCCAGTGCATTTCAGAAAGTTTGTGGAAAAATGGTAACTTTGGTGCAAGAAATGTTGAAATTCATGCAAAGTTTTTTTCATAGTACTCATTTTCTTTTGAACTTTGAAAATTATTTATTTACTTGTTTGAGAGAGAAAGGGAGAAGATAGAGCTCCCATCTATAGATTCACTCCCCGAATACCCACAACGGATGGAGATGGACTGGGCTGATGCTAGGAACTCAGTCCAGGTCTCCGGAATTGGTGGTAGTGTCTCAGTTACTTGCTGCTTCCCAGGGTCTGCTTTAGCAAGAGCTGAAGTCAGGGGCCAGAACTGAGAACTGAACCCAAGCATTCCCATGATATTAGAGGGACTGGTCCTAACCTGTTTCTTAACTACTAAGCCAAACATCTGCCCATCCATGAACTATTTGAAGAACCATTGTATGCATGGATTTATAATTTTTTTGCACCAAAACCAACTCACCATTTAATTCCATTCTCCAAAATCTTCTTGAAGCACCCGTGTATGTGGCCAACTGGACAAAGGACAGCCGGAGAGGCAGCCAAAGGCCTGATAATGAAAGAGCCTTGAAAGCCATCCTAAAGAGTGTGGGCTGGATCCTGTGGCAATGGGAGAATCACTGCAAGAATTTAATCCAACATGGGGCGTAGATTTGCGTTGGGAAGAGACAGAGTGGGTAGACAACCGTGGTAAGGCTGGCTACCAGGCTGTCGTCAGGCCCTGACGGAGGACAGCGGGGACTGAGTGCTCACTCTGCAGTCAGTAGAAGGAAGGCGCATCTGTGGGAGAGTGTCCCCTGTACCATCAGGAATGGTGTGGGGTTCGTGGGCCCTGTGTGATAACTTGCAGCCTCCAACAGTGAGAGGCTGGATGGGGCGGCGGCTGTGTGTGTCTGATCATGGGAAATGGAATAGATGCCTTCCTGGGGAGGGTGGGTGTGGTCCGGGAGGCCCCGGGGGCTACTCAGAGATGAGGCCTGATTGTAGAGTCTGCTTTGAATTTCTTCTCCGTGAACCTGTTCTAGCTCTGAGGCATGGGAATAATTTATAATGGACATTCATCCCTCTGCCTTACACAGACAGTTTTGAGAATCTCCGAGATAATTAGCATTTCACCAGTCTGTGTTTCCAGCACAGTCTGTGACAGGAAGACTGCAGGATGTAGAGACGCTGAAATGTGCTGTCTTAGAATAGGTCCTGTGAAGGTTTTAACCTGTGTACTAATATCTCATGTGTCTCCTCTTCTTCCCCAGCTACCTCCCCTGGTTCGAGGTGTTTTATAAGCTACTTAACATCTTGGCAGATTATACGACCAAAAAACAGGTATTTGCTTTTTCTAAAACAACAACAACCTTCTTTTTAACATGCAAACTTCAATATTGATGGTTATGAAAAATAAATCATGCCTTATACTTCAGAAAAATATTTACCAAAATTGATAATGACTGTCTATTAATGAAAGTTTGGAGATTCAGAAAAATAGGAGGAAGGAAAAGAGAATGATTTCTTAACCTGCCCCACTCCCTTCCATAAAATAAGTATTGCTAGCCTTTTGGTTTGTTTTCTTCCTTATTTTTCCTTTGAGTTAAATAATTAATAAAAATATTCCCTTAGCATTCTCCGTTAATATTCATAATTCCTAACATTCCCAAACATTCCTGAAAGCTCGTTGCTGATGTTAAATGACGGTTTTGCCAAGGACATACATTTCAGCTGCTCGTGTCATGCTGCAGTTTTGAGTTAAACACTTAACTGGCAAGCCCCCTACCCAGCTGTCCTGAGGTCCTGCTTTAGTGAGAGTTTGTGGTGTGTTTCTAGTCACTTTTGTAAGTCTCTGAAAATTACTTTACAAAGTCAGCCATGCTTTACTGTCCTTTTGGAAAAGCCAGTATGCCCTAATCATTTCCATGGGTGTCAGGTGTCAAAGAGGAGCTGCAGTTAGACATTTGTAGCCCCCATTCCTAGGTACCATTCTGACAGAAGTAAATCTCCCATACAACTAAAAATTCCACCAATATTCTTTGTGGTTTGTAATATTATATCATGTACCTGCATTTACTGATGTATTTCCCTATTATTAGGAATTTTTTTATTGCTGAAAGTAGTTCAGCCATTAGCATACTTTATGTATAAAAGTATTTTCTTCCATTTGGATTGTTGTTTTTAGAGGAAAAACCCAAGTGAACCATTGTACGATCCATGGGCATAAACATTTTTACAACATTTACCAAAGTGCCTTTTGAAATAATTGAATCACTTTTTCTTTCTTTCTTTCTTTATTTTTTTTTTTTTTAGATTTTTTTATTTATTAGAAAGTCAGAGTTACACAGAAAGAGGAAGAAAAAGAGAAAGAGAGATAGGAATAATGAGAGATCTTCTATCTGCTGATTCACTCCCCAAATGGCTGCAATTGCTGGGGTTGGGCCAGGCAAAAGCCAGTAGTAAAGAGCTTCTTCCAGGTCTGCCACGTGGGTGCAGGGGCCCAAGCACTTGAGCCATCCTCCACTGTTTTCCAGAGAGAGCTTTCCAGCAGAGAGCTGGATGGGAAATGGAGCAGCCGGGTCTCCAACCAGTACCCATATGGGATGCCAACGTCGTAGTTTGCAATCCCTGCATCATTTTTTCTTTAGAAAGAATATGTTTCCCAGCTATGGAGGAGGATGACTGGGTCATATTACTCTCAGCAGTATCATTTGTTGAATTCATTGTTTGACAAGTAAAGAGTTTCATTGTTTTAATTACATTTCTTTATTAGTAAGCCGAGTATGTGTCCATATGTCTAGCTGGTTATCATTTCCTTTGTATAAATGGCCTAAGTTTTCTTTTTAATTAAAATGATCCATTATTATCAAACTATTAGAGAGAATTTCCCCTTCATTTTTATCTGTGGAACATTAGTTCTGAGACATTCTCCATAAACAGGATGCTCTAGTTCAGCACTGTTAGGGTTAGGGGAAGGGAAGGCTGTGTTTTGTTCTTGCCTTCCTATGATTGAGAAGCCCTGCACTGGGGGACCTGCGCCTCCAGTGCCTCCTGTCTCATTTGGCCCCAGAGCGCTGTGATTGCCTGACTGGTATTAATATTCTGAGACATCGCAATTTCCTGGAATACACTTGGGGAGATTCCGTGTAAGAAAGGTGGAAGTTGTGTGTAGGCTTTTCTTCATGTTAGATTTAGCCACTGGCAAGTGCATTCCGGAGGCCTCACCAATAGAACTGGCTCCCGGGATCAAGGCGCACTCTGAGAAGAAGCACGGGTGCCAGGGAGCTCTGTCTCGCGAGAAGTGATTTACTCCTTGATGAATGAGCCAGGACAACACCTTGGGTCTGTTCGATTTCTGATTTGCTGTCACTTCAAACATCTGGGCTTTCGTGCAAATTTTAAAGGTGTCTTTAGTACATAGACTTGTCTAACTTGTAGGCCCTTAGCAGTTTTGAATTGGCAATGGACTCATGTTCTTTTCCTCTGTATTTATGCTCTAGTAATTTAAAACAAAACAGAAGACCATGAATCCACTTTTTAAAACATGTCTTGAGAACTAAGAAAGGCTAGGTGGTACAGCTCAAACAGAGGAAAGGGACTGGTTGCCCTGCAAGTGTGTCGCACCGACCCCAGCAAGGACCCTGCCTCTTGAGATGTTGGCCACTGAGATCAGGAGCATGTTTGAGATGGGGTCTGTTCTCCTGAACTGAGACTCTGTTTATTAACATTTCTTCTGGATAAAGAAATCATGAACCAGTTAAGAAGAAATCTAGGTACACCTGGCTTGTTTCTAAGATGTGGGTCACCATATTAGAACAGAAGGAAAGAGTTTTTTGTTTAAAAATGGAGTGTCTCCCTCCCTGCCTTCCAAAAACCTTGCTTTTCCCGAAAGTCACCGGGAAGGTTGAGCAAAGCAGGCTGCTAGTATGCATGTCTGTGTGTGTGACCCTGATAGTTGAGCGTGGGGAATTGGAGCCTGAGCTGAGTGATGAGGGTGCCGCTGTGGTTCTCAGGCCCTGAGTGGGACATGGAGAACATCCATGTAGAAGGAGTGGCAAGGCCAAGGAGGGCATCCTAACCAGGGGCAGCCTGCCCTGGTTGTGGGAGCCTGCAGGAGACAAGGATGTTTTCATGGTAGCTCTGCCTGGGATGTCAGAACTCTGGTGAGATCTGGAAGGATCCCGGAAGGGAGGCCGCAGGAGTGGCCTGGCGCTGGGGTGTTGGAGCCTGAGCAGGGTGAGCGTGTGTGAGGGGGTGGATGATGGAGGCCCAACCCTGGGTGTCAGTGACCAAAGAGGGCAGGGAGGGTGTCTGGGTAAGGAAGGAGACAGTAGCAGCAGCAATAGAAGAGTGATTCCACACACACACAAGTAAATACGATAAGAAAATGAGGACAGGGTGCTTCACTTAAAAAAAATTATTTTTATTTATTTGAAAGGCCAAGTTATTGCTTCTCAGCCTTTTGGCTAAGATCAAGTGAAAGACAACGTTAGAGAGAGAGAGAGAGTCTTCTATCTGCTGGTTCACACTCCCAAGTGGCTGCAAGAGCCAGCTCTGGGCCATCCGAAGCCGAGAGTCAGGAACTTTATCCCATTCTGTCATATGGATGCAGGGACCCAAGCACTTGGACCATCTTCTTCTGCTTTCCCAGGCTCAATAGCAGGGTCAGAAAGTGGGGCAGCCAGGACTCAAGCTGGCACCCATATCAGATGCTGGCACTGCAGGCAGTGGTTTAACCCGCTACACCAAAGTGCCGGTCCCAGGGTGCTTCACTTTTGTAGGACACATCACAAATACGGGCAGGGAGGAAACTGGAATGATTCCTATGTTCCGCTGGCACTGGACTCATCAGTGCAAACCCATGGCTTTCAACAGGTGAAGACAGATGTAGGAATAAGCAGATGTCCAGGGTCTACCAGGAGTCTGTGTGTGTGTAACACAGTCCCTGGCTGTGTCCACAGGAAGGGCCTGGTGTCAGGCACACCAAGAAGAAATGAGGTCGCCTGGTGCTCAGATCTTGGTTTCTAAAGACCATTGCCCACTGGTAGGAACCAAGGCTCTTAGAGAAAGGCCTGACTCCAGGACAGGGACAGGGAAAGCATTAGATGAGCTCGAATTACCTATTGTGCCACGAAGGAAGGGAGCACTCCAAAGGTGATGGGGACATGTGAGAAAGACACAAAGCGAGCTTGGAGGTCTAAGGAGCTCCCACTGGTCATACCTGGGACAGTTTGACCATCACAATAAACTGAAGCAAAGGGTTATAATAAGCCCAGTGAATAAAGCAGAAACCACATGCCTATAGCTAGTAGTATTAAGAAGTAACTGGATAAATTGAAAATTGCAAGGAATGGATGTATAAAGCACTGCTCCACAAAGCACTTACTAAATACAAAGGAAGGAGGAATCTCACAATAGCGATATGAGATGAACTAATCAAATGATCAAAGGAAATCTCATCAGTAAAGGAACGAATTGAAATGTGAATCATGAGAAAATATCAAGCATTCTATGAAGTGGGTGGTCTCATCCTCAGTCGTACAAATAGAGGAGACTGAGGAGCTGTTCCAGGCTGAGGAAGACTAGAGTCGCAACCACCGAAGGCAACGGTGTGTAGTCCTAAACCGGATCATTTGCCATCAGGTGTTATTGGTACAATTGGCAAAGCTTGATGGGAGCTGAAGGCTGCATGGTAGTGCTGCTCAGTGGTCACTTTCCCAACGATGACAGTGAATCCTGGTTGTGCAGAGAATGTTCTTGTTTGTATTTATGAATGATGGAGCAGAATGTTAGCTACCCACCCGCAAATATTTCAAGAAATAGAGAGGTTTTTTCAAGCTGTTTCTACAACTGCTTTGCAAGTCTGAGATTTCTTCACAAACGTACCTTTAAGTTCATCTCTGCCCTCTGTGCGAAAAGTATTTGATTTACCTGAGTTCAGGTTGAAGTGAGATTGTAGTCTAGGCTCATCCTGTAACCTCCCCCTAACTAACCTCACTACCAAACAGCTGCAGTGAGACAGAGCGGTCTCTGGGCTTGAGCACAAAAGACCCGTGGTTGTCCCTCCATCCGTGCAACTCATAAACCACTGATTTCAGACATGTTGCTTCACCTTCTTAACCTCAGTTTTTACATTTTTAATAAGCTGAGGTACTTGGGAGAATCCAGTACATAGCAAATGGGTACAAATATAAAACTACCACTCCTGTGTTGGCACAAAGAATTCCACAGGATGGGAGAAGCGGCCTTTGGATGATTCCATGTGTAGTGTTCCTTGGAGCATTTTAAAGGTGACTATGTTTCAGTCGGATAATTTGTGCCGCTTGCATGTCATTTTGTTGCCCAGTTTCACTAATTAAAATGCGCAGCCACCATCCTCTATGGCATGCCGTTGTACTTAGTTCATGTCTAACTTTCTGTAATTGGAGGCTGCCGTGTGTACCCAGTGAACATTCAATAAAATTAATTGAGGGCAACGATGATGAAGACAGGATCTATAGTGTCCTCGTTATTTCCCTCAGCCACCCCCGCCCTGGAAGCTGGGGCTGTTTGCATTTAGAAGTTGTTGCTATGGAGTTGAGGGGATAGATTTGCTGAGAGCTTATGGTATATGATCCATATAAGGCGGTCATGGTAGGTGTCTCGCTGAGTAGAAAATGTCAAATTCGGTGTGGGAGGCTCCATTTGGTGCTTCTGTCTGAGCCATCCGCGATCTCTTGGGCCCAATCCTCCTTGAATATCAAACCTATTTCAGTACTGGGGCCAGCGTGTCCCCGCGCCCCTCAGGAGGGTCCCTAGCACACTGTGTACCTAGACCTCCCGGCAGGGATCTGACTAAGAGCCAAGCCTTGCTTCTGTTACTTAGACCTTTTGTTTCTTTCAGGAAAGTCAGTGGAATGAGCTCCTCGAAACCCTGCACAAACTTCCCATCCCCGACCCAGGAGTGTCTGTTCATCTCAATGTGGTAAGTGAGGAAGGGTGGTGGGCAGGCCGAGAGAAGGCATTTCAATGTGAACAGTAAGAGGCATCATCTTCTGTCCTCTGCACCTCCCTAACCCCATTCTGGAATATGCTGAGACTCCTAGGCCTGGGGCAGGCCCGGGTGTCAAATTCTTTCTTTGTTGAAATTCAGTGAGGAACAGACCGGTCCTAAATGTTCCCAGGCTCCTCTTTGGCCATCACCCCATTACCAGCAGTGCCCGCATAGCAGATCCTGGGCTGGAATAGGAACCCTGCCCCTGCCTTTCGCTTGAGCTCTGTCCTGGACTCCCTGCATCGCCCCTTGTCCCCGACCCCCGGGCACTGTGGTACATCTCCCCGTGCTGAAGCCCAGCTCTCCCCCTTGGCCGTACGCATTGCCTCTCCCGTTTGCCCAGGTAATCCTGTTAATGATTCAGAATTCAACTCCGGTTTCATCTCCAGAGGAATCCTCCTTCGGCACTTTGCAGGACTTAGTTAACCACATTGGAGTGATGCGTTTTCTTGCGTTCCTCTCTGGCCTGTGTGTCCCTTGAGGACAGAGAGGGCGAGGACGGGACACGGTTCCTGGCCCATGGTAATATTTGTTTCTTTGAATACAGTGTGCAAAGCCCCTAAGCACCAAGGGGAGATTTCAATCCTGGTTGTCATGTGGCCAATGACCTAAGTGACCTTAATCAAGACCTTTAACCTCATGGGTCTCAGTTTCCAAATGTGTCAGATAAGGCATCAGAAGAGGTGTAAGAGATCTTTTCCCTATTTCAGTAGTTGGAATTCCCTAATTCCCTCAATTAAACCTTGTCACTGACTTTATCAGATAGACACCCTTTGGCCAGATGCTGATTATTCCACAGGGACTGTTTCTCCTGTGTCTGGGGCCTGCACATTTGGAAGTTGTGTCTTTGGCTTCATTAGAACCAGGCACATTGTTGGCATTCAGTGAGTAGAAAGGTACCTGACCCCCTAAAGAAAAGCAGTATTTCTTAAGAGTTTTTTCCAGAATGATGATAAAAGTCAAAGCACTATTCATACCAATTACTAATAATAGAGCTACCATTTCGTTACGTTTCTAATTTATAGCAAATATGCATCTCTAACGTTGAAACAATTCTCTGCAAAATAGAGATGAACACCTATTTCATTGATGAAAGGTTTGGAGAGGGGAAGGTATCTGTCTATTCAAAGTCATGTGGTCAGGATATGATAAGATTTGGGTTTTACAAACCCAGGGCTGACTTCAAAGCTGAGTTCCTTCCACTGGGCTGTGTGTGTTGAGTTGTAGAGGGGCGAGGGAGGGAAGAAGAGAAGAAAGTCAGGAAGCTGCCATTTTGTACAAGTGTTTGCCCCGTTTTAATACAGCACGAGAAGGAAAGAACCCTTAGTACAAAACATATCCTAAGAAGAGGGAACAATGATCACCAAAAATTTATCAAATGAGGGCTGGTGCCGTGGTATAGTGGGCTAAGCCTCTGCCTGCAGCGCTGGAATCCTGTACAGGCGCTGGTTCACATCCCGGCTGCTCTTCTTCCGATCCAGCTCTCTGCTATGGCCTGGGAAAGCAGTGGAAGATGGCCCAAGTGCTTGGGCCCCTGCATCCACGTGGGAGACTCAGAAGAGGCTCCTGGCTCCTGGCTTCGGATCAGCTCAGCTGTAGCGATTCTGGCCATGTAGCGAGTGATCCAGCAGATGGAAGACCCTTTTCTTTGTCTGTCCCTCTCTCTGTAATTCTACCTCTCAAATAAATAAATAAAAATGTTTTAAAAAAGATGATCAGATGAGCTTTAGACCTGCCACAGTCACCGCTGTGCAGCCAGGATACCCTGCCATTGTCTTTATCTCTTCTCCTAAGCAGCTTGATCTCACTGCTTCCATCTGTAATGGCATGCGACAGGTCTCCCTGGAGTGGCCAGGCTAGGTCACCAGCTGCTAAGAGGAAGGGACATGCCTTTCTCCACATGGCCGCATGGGCAGCGAGCCTGCCAGGCCTAAAGGACAAGCCACCTCAGGCAGGCAGTGCCGTTGGGTGGTGCAGCTGTTCCGTGCCAGTGGTTTCTAGGAATGCCTCTGAACTCCCCTGGTCCCCAGCATTTCATGGGCAGTGGAGCAAGACAGTCTCAAAGGACAGCTGGGCTCCTGGGTTTGGAATTGCCTTGGCTCACTATTTTCAACCCATCGCATCTATAAAGGCAGATTTTTTTTTTCTCTGCTCTTGTCTAGGAATTCCTCTCTCCAGATTGCATTTCTGCTTTTTAAGGGCTAGTGTCATCTAGATCAGAAAGCCTGAAATGTTGATAAAATGGTAATACTGGACTTTTTGGATAGAGACTATTTCTATGTGAACAATATAGATGATTGAGAAAAATAGAAATGTAAGTTAACAGGTGAGAGCAACAGTTACTGTGTGTTAAAACATCATTTATTGAGTGCTAGGCGTATATGTAACATTTCTTCACAAAGTTTTGAAGTCAATACTATAATTCCCATTTACAGATTGAAAAATGAAGTTTCTGTGTTGTTAAGTGAAGCTGCTGCAGCTCACATAGCTGTTAAGTGACCCGCTCTGTGGTTCGAGCTCTTTGCCTCTCACTGTGCCAAACATTGCTGGGTGATTCCATCATGGCCTGGACAGTCTGTCGCTGGACATTTCTGGAAATTCCTGTCTAGACAGTTGGTATAGAAGTCAATATCTCATGGAGTCAAATTTGGACATTGTATTTTACTTCTCCTATTTTAATCCTCATTGAGAAATTGAATTGTTTTCTAGTTTCTGTGCTATGCCATCTCTGTTATAATAATTCATAGGTAATATTTTGGCATAGACACACAGACTTTGAGATAGTCCATTGCAGAAGGCTTTTATAAAAAGTTATTTATAATAATCTTTTTGCATTTTAGTTTATTTTCTTCACTCAAGTTCCTTTAGCTGTAATTTATTCAGAAAAGGCACAAGAATAGTAGTCTGTTATAATGGAAAGAATACAGTTCCAGTTACACAGGCCTGATTTCAGTCTAGTTCTGTCACATGCTACCTGGGTGACCTCGGACAGGCTACCTCTCTGAGCATTAATTTACTGACTGGTAACACACATATGGAGATAATGTATGCCTTGAAATTCATTATGGAAATTAAAAATAATATTTATAAAGTACCTGGCATACAGCTTTCCATATAGCAGATGTTCAGTAAACTATCTGTTGAATATCAGACAGGTAGCTGATACTATTGTTGCTGGTGGTGGTGTAACAATTGTCCCTAAGACCTTTCATTTGAGAAAGTCTACACAACTCATTCTTCTGGAGTCTGACTGATTTTGCAATTACCCAAGAATAAGGGGAGTGGAGGACTTCCTGAAATGTCAGTTTTCGGTCCCAGCTTGAACTTCAGCCATGGCTGAGCTGACCTTCTCTGCATGTGCCCTTTCCTGGCCTTTGCACAATCCCATGTTTAATTGGCCAGCCCAAGGCTCTTTCCACTCCTGCTTGCCATTGTCCTCCGAGTCTTTAAGAGCAGCCGAGGGGGTGTCATCTGCTCAGCCTGTTGTCACTGAACTCAGGGATACACGCTTGTTACATCCGTGGAGCTGCCTCACTAAAGTTCTCTGAAGAGGTCAGTTTTTCAACTCCACCGAGTCTCCCGCTCTCTTCCCTGGAAGTCAGGAGGCTCGCTGGCAAGTGTGCTTCATGGATGGTTTCCCCGCCATTAACCATCTGGTGGGCCCAGCTCGCTGGCCGTTAGCTGGAGCTGTCCTTAACATCATTCAGGCCTTTAGGGCACTTTTTTTTTTTTAAGATTTTATTTATTTATTTATTTGAGAGAGAGAGAGTTACTGAAAGATCTTCCATTTGCTGGTTCTCTCCCCACATGGCTGCAACAGCCAGAGCTGAGCTGATCAGAAGCCAGGAGTCAGCAGCCTCTTCCAGGTCTCCCACATGGGTGCAGGGGCCCAAGCACTTGGGCCATCTTCTGCTTTCCCAGGCCATAGCAGAGAACTGGATCAGAAGAGAAGCAGCTAGGCATGGACCGGTGCCCGTATGGAATGCTGGCACTGCAGATGGAGACCTAGCCTACTACGCCATAGCGCCTGCCCCTTGGGGCACATTTCGACCACAGTTTTCAGGTGGATATAATCTCAGGTGCTGAAATGAGATAGCAGGTTTGTTTGGTAAAGACCATTGCTGAGTGAATCCAGTGATATTTGGTCCCCGAAGTCCACTTGCTTTGTTGAACAATAAATTATAAAACCTGGAACTTTCATGTTTTCAGAAGCCTGAACACATTGTATGGGAATTTAGTCTTTAACATCTTTGAGCTCTTCATTTGTGTCTCCCAACAAAGTTCATCTCTTATAGCAAAGAACTCTGTCTACCAAACTGATGATTTAATGCAACTGGCTTAATCCATTATTATCCCAAGAAAATATCCCGTGGATATTTCCACTAAGGAAATATCTTCCTATCATTTATCTAAATGCTTGAGTACTGTGCTTGTTACACATTTTTGTAAAAATAAACTATGTTTGCTTCTCTTTTTCAGCATTCTTATTTTACTGTGCCTGATACCAGAGAACTTCCCAGCATACCTGAGAATGTGAGTACTCAGGGAGAAAAAGTTCAGTTGTCAGTTTTCTTTATTTTGTACTCTTTTTTTACTAATAAAAATATAATGCTTTAAGGCATAATTGTACAAATCATAATTTTAAAAGGATGCATTATGAAAATAAATATAAAAATGAAAGTGCATTATAAAAACCAAAGGCTATTTACAAGATATAGGAAGCATGTAGACAATCATTCATACTTCTCAAAGATAATCACCTGTCAACATGTTAATTTTCCATTTCTATCTTTTTAGAATATATTCTCATATTAAAAAATCACAAATTATATACACATATTTTCCATTTTCATTCATAAGAATTATCTGTGGCTCTAATGTTCTGTTTGCTATGTAGTTTACTATCATTCACTCCCTGTTGTGCATTTAGATCATTCTTTTATTGGCATTATCAATGAAATGTTTCCATATAAAATATGTTTCATATAGATGTTTCTTTATTAGGGAAGACTGACTCAAGTGTAGTTATATCTCTAGTTCCTACATTTCTGTATCCACTGTTCAGAGAATACAATGAAGGATTTGTGGATAGAGATTGCGAACCCCCTCGCCCCACCTGTTAGGGACCGAGGAACACAGAACCAGAGTGTGAGACAGGAGATGGTTAATGTTTGCCCTCTGAACGAGCTGAATGATGTGTCTGCCCAAGTTTGTTTCAAAATGTGTAGCTGTGATTGTGAATAGTACCATGTAAGCACCATGTGGAATCTAATGGAGGATGGTCATACTTGGGCACTTGATTACCTTTTTAAAACTGTGATAGAATATATGAAGCATGAAATTGATCATGTAAACCATTTGTAAGCCTACAGTTCAAGAGTTTTAAGTACATTAATTCAATGTGCGATTTCCAGACATTTTTGTAACGCAAAACTGAAGCTCTGTACTCATTGAACAAGAGTAACTCTCTGGTCTCTTCCTCCCCCTTCCCCCGCCCCCCCACAGCCCCGACCACCCATCATTCTATGTTGTCTCTACAAATTTGACTCCTCTAAGTACAATCACAGTAGTTGTCCTTCTGTCTGGCTTATTTCATTACTACAGTTCACTTAGTACACTTCAAAGTTCATCATGTAGCATATGCCAAAATATTCTTATATTTTGAGGCTGTACTCTCGTGAATGTACCACATTTTGCTTACCTGTTTGTCCATTGGTGGACAGCTGGGTTGTTTCCACGTTTTGTGCCCTGTGCCTTTAAACATTGGTTTATGGGTGTCCCTGCTTTCAGTTCTTCTGGGAACATACTTGGTTACTTTTTTAAAGACCTGGAATAAACGGTATGTTTTTCCATAACTGCTGCAAGCTCACAGAAAGAAAATGCTTCTATAGAGCACATTACAAATAACAAATAATAAGTGTAATTAATGAATTATGCTGCAGTATTGCAATTAGGGTCGTCAAGGCTCTCCATCATCTTTACGATCAGGCTGCGGTGGAAAATATCTCTTCCTTTGTGTTTGACATTAAGTAATTAAAAAACAAACAAAAAACAAAACAAAACAAAAAAAACCCTCAGCCCAGAGTTCCCATTTCAACAACAGCCAGTGTTTACTGAGTTCTACTGCATGCAAAAAGATGCATTCAGTTCTTTACTTGCCTTGTCTCATTTACTTCTCTTAACAAGCCTAAGTGGCAACTTACCATGATTATTCTCATTTTAGATAAGGAAGCAAAAACCCTGGGAACTTAAATAACATATTCAAGATCCTTCAGCAAGGAAGTGGTAGCATCAGAATTCAAACTCTGGTCTGATTCTTGAGACTGAGCGTGCTCTTTTATGCTTTGAGCCCATGATTTTTACCTTTTGTCTCTCAAAACAATTCCATTGGAATGATAAATATAAAATTAAGGAGAACAATATTCCCATAGTGGCAGAGGAAAATTAGGAATTCCTCCTAAAAGGATCAGTACTAGTTAGTAGTCTGTTGTGACCAGCACTGGACCGGGCTGAAGCCAGGAGCTTCTTCCAGATCTCCCACGTAGGTAGCAGGGGCCCAAACACTTGGGTCATCTTCCAGTGCTTTTCCCAGGCCGTTAATAGGGAGCTGGATGGGAAGTGAAGCAGCTGGGACACCACAATGCCCATAGAAGATGCTGAGGCATCGGTGGCTTTACCCACTGCGCCACAGTGCCATCCCCTATCCAACACATTTGAAAATTGTAAAAATAGAAATACTTCTAAAAAGTACAAATGATTAAGGTATACAATAAATAGGAGGTAATATTGGGGCTGGCATTGTGGTGTAACTGATAAAGCCACTGTCTGCGAGACCACCATCTCATATGGTTGCTGGTTCAAGACCCTGGCTGCTCCACTTCCAGTCCAGATCCCTGCTAATGCGCCTGTGACCCAGCAGAAGATGACCCAAGTACTCGGTCCTCTGCCACCCATATGGAAGATATAAGAGAAGCTCCTGGCTCCTGGCTTCAGCCTGGCATAGCCCTGGCTATTGCAGCCATATGGGGAGTGAACCAACAGATGGAAGATGTGTGTGTGTGTGTGTGTGTGTGTGTGTGTGTGTCTTTGTCTTTCCCCTCTCTATATATAACTCTGCCTTTCAAATAAATAAAAAAGAAATCTTTAAAAAAAGAAATAGGGCCAGCACCGCAGCCCAATAAGCTAATCCTCCGCCTTGCAGCGCTGGCACACCGGGTTCTAGCCCCGGTCGGGGCGCCAGATTCTGTCCCGGTTGCCCCTCTTCCAGGCCAGCTCTCTGCTGTGGCCTGGGAGGGCAGTGGAGGATGGCCCAAGTGCTTGGGCCCTGCACCCACATAGGAGACCATTGGAGGGTGAACCAACGGCAAAAGGAAGACCTTTCTCTCTGTCTGTCCCTCACTGTCCACTCTGCCTGTCAAAAAGAAAAAGAAATAGATAATACAAATATACAATAGTATGGCTTTATTGCTGTCTCTACCTCACCCTTACAGATATTATAGGTTACATATGCATTTTCAAGGAACAGGTAAGTATTTCTCTCTCTCTCTCTCTCTCTCTCTCTCTCTGTGTTTGTGTGAGAGAGAGAGAGAGAGAGAAGCAAGTGAAAACAATTGCTCCTATTCTCCTGTCTCAGAGAATGTCATGTTGTGAGTTTCTTTCCTTCCATTTTGAAATAGTGTTAGTTTTCAAACTATGCTGCTTAGAGCCTGGAAGGTCTGAAGAGACAGGTGGCTGACAAGTGCCGAGTCCCTGCTCCCACATTACTGCTTAAATTGGGGTTGAGCCATATTTTGTTGGAGACAATTTATTATTTTGATTTATTTTTAGAAAGAGCTTTGGAGGTACAAGATGGGAATGGTATGACATAAACAGTTACCTGTATCCTTAAAGATTCCCCGCAAGTATCTGTCTCGGGGCGTGTGCTGTGATGCAGCAGGTTGAGCTGCCACGTGGGATGTCCACATCACACATCAGAGTGTTGGCGTGTGAGTTTTGAGTCCCGACTACTGAGCCTTTCCCATCCGGCTTGCTGCGACTGCGCCTAGGAGACAGTGAATGACCCCCCGTACTTGGGTTCCTGCCACCCATGTGGGAGGCCCAGATAGGGCTGCTATCTTCTGGCTCCAGCCCAGCCCAGCCCTGCCCCACCTGTTGTGGGCTTTAGGGAGTGAACCAGCAGATGGAAGGTCTCTCTGTCACTCTGCCTTTTGGTAAAATAAATACGTCTTAAAAGAATACATTTTTTTTGGCCAGCGCCGCAGCTCAATAGGCTAATCCTCCGCCTGTGGCGCCGGCACACTGGGTTCTAGTCCCAGTCGGGGCACCGGATTCTGTCTCGGTTGCTCCTCTTCCAGTCCAGCTCTCTGCTGTGGCCAGGGAGTGCAGTGGAGGATGGCCCAAGTGCTTGGGCCCTGCACCCCATGGGAGACCAGGAGAAGCACCTGGCTCCTGGCTTCGGATCAGCGCGGTGCGCCAGCTGCAGCGGCCATTGGAGGGTGAACCAACGGTAAAGGAAGACCTTTCTCTCTGTCTCTCTCTCTCTCACTGTCCACTCTGCCCGTCAAAAAAATAAATAAATAAATAAATAATACAGAAGTACATCCTCACCACCCTCTCCCAGACCTCTGAGAGTTGATAGTGTAAGTACCTGAGTGTGTGATAAACATTTTGTAAAAACAAATGTGATACTATTATTTTTAACAACAACATACTATTTTATAAGTTTATTCTTTTTGGTGTTTACAGTTATCTAAAAAACCATTCATATCTATCTCCTTTAAATTTTTAATGATATTCTTATATGTTCTCATTAAAGCAATGCATACTATTGGCTATAAAAACCATTTAGTAGCTCACAGTTGTTGATGGAAAGCAGCATTAACCACATGCCTCATACGTTTCATACCACATCCCACAGGTGGCTGCTTTTAAGTTTTTACCAGTTGTTTTTCTTTCCATTTTTAAAAATTTATTTCTTTATTAGAAGATCAGAGTGACAAAAAGGGACACACACACACACACACACACACATCCTTTATCTGCTGATTCATTCCCCAAATGCCCACAACAATTGGGGCTGGGCCAGGCCAAAGCCAGAAGTCAGGGGCTCCATCGAGGTCTGCCACATGGGTGGCAGGAACCAAAGTGCTTGAGCCATTATCAGCTGTCTCCCATGCAACATTGGCTGGAAGAGGGTTAAAAAGTGGAGTAGCTGGGACTCTAACTAGCACTCGGTGTGAGATATCAGCGTCCCAGGCAGCAGCTTAACCTGCTGCACCCACCACCTGCCTCTTCCCTCCATATTTGTAACTACAGTGTTCATATTACTGTATCTTAGATGATTTTCCTGTTTGAGACATAACCTGTTGATTTTCCTGTAGAAGATGAGAGTTAGGTCTTTTACCATGTCTGACCGCCGCCCCTGGAAGCACGCACGCATGCACACAATCACTGTCACTCATGTATCTCCCTTCTCCCATTCTTCATCCATCTTTAGAAAAAATTTATGTTTAACCAGGTTAATGTTTACATTT